ATTCTAGCTAAAAGGAGGGTGCGACAAAACGCGACGCAATAAAAACAAAAACAAATTAGAATTTTTGTATATATATGGGTGATTTCATCTCAAATCGGGCAGGCTAAAAGGGTCTAATTTTTAATTTTCACGAAAAAATATATGTTTTGGGGGCATTTTTCAAATGAAGGAGGGCGCAAACCGCATGTTCTCTCGATTTTTTGTTCTCGAGGTACGAGCCGTAGAAGCCGCAGTGGCAGAAACTAGTGTTTTTGCCTGCCGGCGCAGGTCGCGTGCTTGACAACCTCTGCTGACGCTATTGTTTTCTCTACACCCTTTTAACTTTCCCCTCTCATTTAATAGGTATTATAAAGATACCTTGATGTATCCAAATATTTTTAGGAATTTGATTGTTTTTTTTAAAACACATGTTAAACTCATCACTCCGGTCGCTTTTTGGTCAAATTTGACAGGTCAAACTTTGTCTGTACTTAAGGTAAATTTTCTTTCTTTGGCTCTACAGAAAGCCCAAAGCACGCCCATTATAGATATAATAATATCATTATGATTTGCCGACTAGCCGCTACGCTACCTTCACGTAAACGTTGTAAGAAATAACAAATGTTGAAAGTTTGAAATCGATTTTCTCAAAAACCCCATTTTTGTAAATTTTTATTTTCTAAATTATTTTAGACATATTGGTCGACTACAAGAAATAACAGTCTAGAAATGTAATATTTTGGTTGTATGTCCTCTGTTTGAGCCGCAATCGCGTGAAATGTGTAAACATTTGTTATTTTTCCCTACGTTTACGTGAAGGTAGCGGAGCGGCTACTCGGCAGATAATAATGATATTATTATATCTATAATGGGCTTGCTTTGGGTTTTCTGTAGAGCCAAAGAAATAAAATGTACCTTAAGTAAAGACAAAGTAGTGAGAAAATAAGCGCCAAAAAAACACGGACAAAGAGTAGATTGACAACGACAACTTCTACTCTTTGTCCGTGTTTTTTTGGCGCTTATTTTCCCACGATGTACCAACTGGCCCATCTAAGCATTTTATTACAAAGTAGTGACCTGACAAATTTGACCGAAAAGCGACGGGAGTGACGAGTTTGACATGTTTTTTAGAAAACAATCAAATTCCTAAAACTATTTGAATATATCAGGGTATCTTTATAATACCTATTAAGTGAGGGGTAAAAGTTAAAAGGGTGTAAATAAAACAATAGCGCCAGCAGAGGGTGTCAAACACGCGACCTCCGACGGCAAGCAAAAACACTCGTTTCTGCCACTGCGGCTTCTACGCTTCGTAACTGAAGAACAAAAAATCTGGGGAACATCCGGTTTGCGCCCTCCTTCATTTGAGAAATGCCCCCAAAACATGTTTTTTTCGTGAAAATTAAAAATCAGACTATTTTAGTCTGCCCGATTTGAGATGAAACCTCCCATATCGGGCAGGCTGAAAGGGTCCAGTTTTTAATTTTCAAGAAAAAAATATATGTTTTAGGGGCTTTTCTCAAATGAATGAAAGCGCAAAATATTTTTGAGACGTTCTCTGTGTCTGTTCCTTCTACTGAAAGTTCTTCCAATTTCTTCCACCGCAGTCTCAGGTGTAATAAGACACGATTAGCTACCACCAGCTCGCCTGCACTCTCACCGTCTTTTCGCAAACCGCATGTTCCCCAGATTTTTTGTTCTCGAGTTACGAAGCGTTAGAAGCCGCAGTGGCAGAAACTAGTGTTTTTGCCTCCCGTCGCAGTTCGCGTGTTTGACACCCTCTGCTGGCGCTAGTGTTTTGTCTACACCATTTTAACTTTTCCTCCTCGTTTAATAGGTACTATAGAAATACCTTCACGTGTTCAAATATCTCTAATAGTTTGATTGTTTTCTAAAGAAAATGTCAAACTCGTCACTCAGGTCGATTTTTGGTCCACTTTGACAGGTCATTACTTTGTCTGTACTTAAGGTACATTTTATATCTTGGGCTCTATATAAAACCCTAAGCATGCCTAGTATAGATATAGTAATATCATTTAGATCTGCTGAGTAGCCGCTCCGCTACCTTCACTTAAACGTTGTGAAAAATAACAAATGTTCACACATTTCACGCGATTGCGGCTCGAATAGAGGACATACAACCAAAATATTACATTTCTAGATTGTTTTTCTTGTAGTCGACTAAAATTTCTAAAATAATTAAAAAAATAAAAATTTACAAAAGTGGAGTTTTTGAGAAAATCGACCTCAAACTTTCAACATTCGTTATTTCTTACAACGTTTACGTGAACGTAGCGGAGCAGCTAGTCGACAGATCATAATGATACTATTATTATATCTATAATGGGCTTGTTTTGGGCTTTCTGTGGAGCCAAAGAGAGAAAATTTACCTTAAGTACAGACAAAGTAATTTCCTGCCAAAGTTGACCAAAAAGCGACCGGAGTGACGAGTTTTACACGCATTTTAGAAAACAATCAAATTCCTAAAAATATTTGAATACATCAAGGTATCTTTATAATACCTAATAAATGAGGCGAAAAAGTTAAAAGGGTGTATAAAAAACACTAGCGCCAGCAGAGGGTGCCAACACGCGACCTGCGACGGCAGGCAAAAACACTAGTTTCTGCCACTGCGGCGTCTACGGCTCGTAACTCGAGAATAAAAAATCTGGGAAACATGCAGTTTGCGCTCTCCTTCATTTGAGAAATGCCTCCAAAAGATATATTTTTTTCGTAAAAATTAAAATTTAGACCCTTTTAGCCCGCCCGATTTGAGATGAAAACACCCATAATATATATACAGCGTGCTGAAATTTAACAAAAAGTGAATACCTTCTGTGTTTCATAATTTATTTCTCAGTTATCGTACATGATAAAGACACAAACTTTGCTTAATTAGGAAGGCAATGAAAGGTCTACACGTGGTATTATTTTAAAAGCGATACAAAACATAGTCGACTCAAAACAAGATCCCCAGTTTAGGTTACAGTTGTTCCCGGAGGCATGTTTGGGGATTTTTACAAAGATTGGAGCGACTAATAATAAATAGTAGTTATAATGTCGTTTTACCTACTTGAATACATACTACAATAAAAAAAAATATAGACGCTGTCTTTTGAACACTTTAAGATTGAGAGTGATTAAGAAACGCCACACATGGACAATCGTCAAAACCTCGTCGCTTCTTTGAGATTTTGTTTTCCCAGAAGCTAAACATGTCAGGACATTAAGATAAAAAGAACGTTCTTCTTGGAACATGCGCCACGTAATATAAAAATTTGAAGCAATATAAAAAAATGCGACTGCACCTGGTTGCCTGAATCCAAATGAAATCGGCCATATGCATATATTACCATATGTATATATTATATATTACTTATCCTGCCGACTGCGAAACTTTATTTAAAGTCACACGATATCGAGACATCATTGAGACCACAGGTTACCTCAGGCGCAAGGATGTAATTTGACCTTAGCAGCTCTTGTGCCGGAAAACCCCAATCAATTAATCAAGCACACGACGTCACTATAGAACAAAGTCTTGGGTGACTCGTCTGGTGATAACCCTTTTGGGATTTTTCCACCTTTCGCCTCTTGTTTGTTCTATTCGACTTAAGCCGTCGTCCTCGTTATCGCAACGGGAACTCTAACACATATATATAAACGCTGTCGATTCGAGCCGAGCATCGCAGACGATTGTTCAACAAGGATCGAATATCGAAACATGAAGGCGCTTCTGCTCTCCGCTCTTATGGTCCTTCTGGCGGCCTCTGCAGTGTCTGCAAGAATTAAGACGTGCTTGGAGCTGGCTTTCCTAATAATTTTCCTAGACGTATTTACGTTTACTGATTCGCCCGAGAGAAAGCGGTCGCTGACTCGGCTTAAAAGGGACACTGGAACCCCCCAAAATGTTTTTTTTTTCTTTTTTGGCCAGGTGATTTATTATGTGTTAGAAGACAACCCAATCAAAATTTTTCTACAACGTCACATCTATTTTTTATAAAGTAAAAAAAAAACGCAACTGCTAGAAACCGAAACCGTAACTGGATTGGGGAGGAGGAAGAAATATAGGGGAGGAGAGAGTTGACGGAAATCACGTGGCTGTGCAACCTTTTTTTTTTTCGTTTTTTTTTTTTTTTATTAAAATATTTATAGCTTTTCAGAAGTCACAGAAAACTAGGTATTATATTTTTTCTATTTTTAATATTGTGTGTCTGCCGTCGATGACCCACGACTTTTATTTTATTTGGTGGTTGTGTCTAAACCAGGGGTCTCCAAACTTTTTGGCTAAGGGGCCGGATGGAGGCTCTGTCTCTGTCTCGAAAGCCGGAAACGTAAATGGGCGGATGTAAATGAGAAAAATCTAAATAAATAATCCTAGATATCTAAGCATTTAAATATGCAATACTTAAAGTTAGAGTGAACATGAAACAAAAAGATTCTGAGGTGAATGAATGCATTCACTTTGTTATGAAATTTAATCATTTAGCTGCTTATGACATCACACAATAATTGGAGCCCAGAAAACATACCAGCATAAACCAGAGCGCATAGGAACTTTGGCACGTTCACACTGGGCAGAAGACTATAGTGAGAACGATAGAAGTTATGCTGACAACATTTAATAGCTACGACACAGCACACCAAGCACAATATGCATAGGGACGTAAACTAATTTTAACGTACTTAGTTACCCAGATATAGAACAGGGGGCTAGGAGTGTGGATTCTGCTAATGACAATGCCCAATTACTAATATGACCAGAGGATACGCCTTACGGTAGGCAGTTCTCTCTCGTTATTTTCTGGTAACTTCGTTTACGTGGTTGGTGCGCGCCGCGGCGCCGTTTTACGCGCGCTTATTTTTCCGCCAGTAGCAGCGGGCGTGCTGGAAGCGGCCCGTGGGCAGGACTCATAGGGAGGACTGCAGCCAGCCACGGGCCGGTCGGAAGACCTCTGCGGGCCGGATTTGGCCCGCGGGCCGGGGTTTGGAGACCCCTGGACTCTAAACCATAGAAAACGGCACGTGACCACGGAGAAGAGAGTGAGCGCGACTCAAACCGGTCAGTTCTTGATGGGCGGTCTTCGGCGGAAAGAAAAGGAATTTCGAGCCGCGAATTGTTTTCTGGGTAGTTGGGCTCTCATATGTCATGTACAAATAAAAAAAATACTTTCAGGCTTTCCACTCTGGTGAAGAAGGAAGACCAGCGAAGCTGTACTATCGTGGAAATGAAGTAATGGCCTGCCGTAAGTCGGCAAGCCAGACAGGAAAGGCTCGAAAGGTTACCGCCATTGTTTATAGATGGCGGTAGCTGTCCAGAGTTTTGTGTGATCACGTCATTTGAGGACGGACATGATCCTGGGAAAACTAGCCCATAACAGCTCCGCTGTAAAACCTCGGCGAGCATAGATACCCTGTCAGTGTCCCTTGAAAGAACGCGTAAATGCTTTGAGCAACGGCAGCGTCAAAAACGCAATTCACTAGGCTTTTTTTTTTTTTTTTATGATAGGCCCAGCGATGAAAGAACACGTACAGAAACATAACGAACACCATGATGATGATACGATTTTGACGCCGTCGGATTCATTCCATCAGCTCGTATACCGTCGGTTGCGTCCGGACTTCAAGTGAAACGAAGCAATTTTTTTTTTCACTAACAGTTTCTTTTACGCTCCAGCTTGATGTTTTTGACACTGCACGGACTACGGCAATACGAGCTGCCTCCGTTTAGTGCTCGGTGAAAGGAGTGAAATGCCGCTTGTATTGCTTTCCGCATCCTAAGCCATGTCGCTGACTGCCCCGTTACAACAATAGAAAATGTGAGACTACCCTTATAGCCTCTTTTCTAACATCTCAGCATAACCGGGAGTCCCCACACGGCTTGTGTGCTGCCCCAACCTGAACGGCGCTGGGCCATGCAGCTCAGAATGCTTAACCTGTACACGTCATACCTGCTGCAAATCTCGAAAACATAGCACTAGATACAAAAGTATCGCTAAGAGTTCATTTACAAAGTTATACCTATCTTCCCCTCTAAGATTGGCGCTTCATTACTTTTTTTTTTAATTATTTTCCAGCTAGGGCGTACGAAATGATGCATGGTCTAATCTTTGTTCTGTCGCTTGCAGTAGCGGCCGACTTGCCCTGGGTGTGTGGCCCCAGGGAGGTCTTCAAGGAATGCGTGAGCAGCAGCTGTGCCGAACTCAAGTGCGGCAGGGAAGGCATGCCACTCGCTTGCACCGCGGACTGCGTCAACGGCTGCTTCTGCGCTCCGGGCCTCTACCGTAAGGGGCACAGAGAATGCGTTCCCCGGAGCGAGTGCCAAGTCGAGCCCCTCAGGCCAATGCCTAAGGCTTGAACAAACATTAATACCGTTCTGGACCACACTGGCGACAGTGCACGGCTGCTCCTAAATAAAACCTAGATTGTAGGCGAAGCAGTTGTCGTGTTTTTGTGTTTTTACTTGGGAATTCGATTGTGTTGAAGCGTAAGGATTGAGGGCAAGGTGAGTTTGTTTTCCCAAAATCACTCAAGATGTGCCAAATGCACGCAGGTTTTTTTTTCTTTTTCTTTTTCTTTAATATTGCCACGCCACTTCGTTTATGTTTTTTTGAAAAGCAGATCTAAATAGTCGTCTACGTATCTGAAGACATGTGAAACCAGATTGGTGAGAAGGTTCTTAGTTATGTTCCGGCCACATTGAACTAAAAAGATTTCGCATAAAATAGGATCAACACAGTAGCCTAGGCATATTCCCTTCTTTTGTATGTAAGTATTGTTGTAGAATGTGGCTACTGTACATGTAAGGTAGATTCTTAGGAGTTAAGAAAATGACGCTACAGTTGTGCCACACTGATTTTGTAAAGACACCATTTCATTAGCTTCGATGCATGCATTGACTGCTTCGGACAGTTGGGTGTGCGGGACTGGATAGAATAAGTCCTCCACATCTATAGAAAACTCAAACCTTACCGGCGTCGTATTCTGTTCCAGATAGTTAATTCCCACTTCCCAATCGGGAATAAATTAAATGTCTCGAATTTTCAGATCAACGTTTTTCAAGTGACTTAACACGTACCGAGACATGTGACTCTCCCAGTCACCATGCTCGAAAAGGGCAACTTTCCTTGTAAAGTTTCGCAATAATTTTTTTAATTAGTTATTATTTTTAGCTGTGATATGTTTTCGCAAAGTGTACAGATTTAACATTTTGCACATTTGGAGAGCCTTGGACTTGACAGCCTCAGAATGAAAACCTGGCAACCTGTTTAAATTCTTTTTGATGGCCAAATCTTCCTTATCGATGCAAAAAATAGGAGGATGGGTGGCAGAGTGGGCTAGCGCACATCAGCGCGGAGCACGTGGAGTGAAAGATCGCAATGCAGAACCCAGGGATCCTGGGTTCAATCCGCACCCCTGCCCGTTTCGATCTGGATGAGCACCGTACTGGCGTGCGGTCGTGTATCATTGCTGCGCGATGGACGTTAAAGACCCCAGTCTAGCGGTTGTACTGCACTGGCTAAATTTCTTATCTACAGTTGGGAGGCAAATCGCAGCGCCGTTAAAACAGAAAAAGTTCTCACGCCCCCTTTTTTTTCCTTTTTTTGGGGGGGTTACACAAATAGGTTGGAATTAGAGGGTTCCGTTTCGGCTCTTATCGGCTTTCATAGAACCATCGAAGACGTTTGCCGAGCTCAGGCTCCTCTGCTGTGGCCAAGGGTCTCTGCAGCGGAGATGATTTCAACGTGGCCACCAACGTTACTAGCATGGGCGCACCAACCCGGGGGGCAAGGAGAACGCTTGCCCTCCCCCCCCCCCCCCGAGTTCTCAGAGTGGAGGGGCAAGGCATGTGTTTTGCCACCCCACCCCTCCTGAAACAGACGTCACTGGGCAGGGCAAACACGAGCCGGCGGCGCCCAAAGGATACCAAGGTTGGTACGCCTCTGGTTACTAGAACACTCAGTTGGGAAACTCACAGTTGAAACCTGGGCCGCTAGCGTTCACTGAGACCGAGCTAAATACGATAACAGCGCCATCTTTTAGCGACGAGTTAAAACGTGAAAGTTTTTTTATAAGGCTACTGCTAGGGTCACTGAATGTTCCCAAGGTACCTAAACTCCCAGGCTCGAGGTTCCAAGATGGCGGCTCAATCTTTTTGTCTTCTTTACTGTGGTCACCTTAAAGGGGCCCTGCAAGGGCTTTTTACTGGTTTTTAATTTGCACCGAACCTGAGCGCGCTGAATGTAGTAACTTAATTAAACTTTTTTTTCTCTCAAATTTCGCTTTATTTTAAAAGTTATAGGCAAATTAAAATTACAAAAACAAGCAAAGAAATAACCTCCTTAATGACGTCCTTGGTCGCTTGAGTGGCCGTGAACTAGAGGAGGGGTAATGAGCTCAGCGAACGCTCACGGCTGCCGCCCTCCGTGTCGACGACTCGAGAGGGCGCCACTAAAGCATGTTCTGGACAGGCTGTATGAAGCGGGCAGCCAGGGCGACTTACATTGCATTTGCTGCGCGATTAAACACTAATCCGGCATGACACTTCATTGACCACAAACGACAGCAAACACAGGGTTAAAATCAGTTTAGAACGGGAGCCACTTCGCGCTGCCATACCGCCAAAGGGCCAAACCGCAGTCCAAAGCTGCTCGCCGAAAGCCTTCGGAACGCTCGGAACCGGTCGGATCCTCGACTGCAGCGCCGCCGCGTACACCCGGGACCTTTCTACACTCGCCGCTCGTCAGCGCCTGATCCCACTACACCTTTCTAGTATGCGCCGCCTTTTCCACCACTTGGTGGCGGGTATGTCGACGGCTCATTTCTTGCTCCCGTACTTTATTAACTTCATTTGTCTCTTTTCTGATCTAAAATACTGAACAAAAGCTACTTTTATAAATAATCGAAACGGCTCGCTCCACTTATATTTTGTATATCGACCAAAAAGAAGCTTTTAGCGGCTCTGACCAGTAGTAAGCCCAGGACTAAAGACGTCACATTTCGCGCGCTTTCGGCATCGCGGGTCGCTCCCGTAGGTGGAGGAGGTTTCCGCTTCGTCCGGTTAGAATATGACGCACTGATATTTAGTTACTCTTTCCGTGCCCGCTGGCTTGCCCGAACCCCAAGAGACATGGAAACCGCAAAAAAGTTAGACGCTTAAATATGATTGCAGGGCCCCTTTGCGCTTTTAGAAAGTATCCCTATTGAAAATTCCATCAAGGTACGTAATTTGGGACACTGACTGCCAGTCAGCAGCCTTGGTGGAACGTGATGGACCATCAGATGACGTCTGACTGTCACTGCCAAGGGAATTTCATCAACAAGGGTGGCACCTATATAAGAGTAAAACTATACGCACTCATAAATATCGCCAAATGCCTCAATAAAACAATGTTGAAAAAAAGAAGAAAAAAAAAAAGAAAAGCTGGACCACCGCGCATCGAACCCGCGACCACTTGCATTCAAATCGGGCATCTTAACCACTATGCTATGCCTCTTTTTTTTTTTTTTTTTTTATTTCCTGTTTAACATTGGTGGCATACATAGTTATCAAGATAGACTAAATAGGTAAAACCATCAGCCTTCCTGGCTAATGTCACAGCTAGAAGTCTTTGATGGAGGACAAATCCTCCAGAAGTGGCAGCCACTCAGGTTGAGGCTGCTGCGCCCTGTACAGCTCTTTAAGGAAACACACGTGTTCTACAAAATACTTATACACTGGCCGCACATCGATATCCGCATGATGCCTCCGCTTTGGAAACTCGATTTGACTATTCGATTTATACGAGATGCTTCGGCTACAAATGCAGTTAAGTCGTTAGCGTGTTATGCAAAGCACTCGTACATCACTCGCCGTACTTCAGTTCTACTCACCTGCCATGTAGAGTACTTTCGCGTCGTAGAGCGATCCTTTTGTTCGCGCGTCACCGGCTCAGTAGACCTATACACCTTGTCGTCTTCAACTACACCGCTAAAGTCCCTTACATCGTCGGAACTCACAACAGGCTGGGTCTTGTCGAGTAGAAATTCTACTAAAACATAAGACATTGTAGAGCCCGGGCAGGATCGACAGGTTAAAGCAAGCGGGCAAACAAAACGAGTCGAGAGCGATCGTTCATAAAAGCTCGGCGAAGTCTCTATGGGCGAAGCGAAGTCGGCGAAGTGTCGTGTTCGGCGCTTCGGCGAGCTTCTGATCAAGGTTGTCGGTCCGTTGCGTGTCATATCTCTAACGTCAGCGGTTTTATGGGCTCACGTCCTGAAATCGTTTTCTCGTGCATGGATTACTTTTCGTATTCATAGATTTGACGAAATAGTGGTATCCGAACGAACTTTACCCTCTTTGACCGTGCGTCTGTCTGCACGTCAAAGCTTTTTGACGTACAGTCAGAGACAATCGATGTACAGTCAGAATCGCCACCAAGACATCCTGATGGCATTTCGCGGCGGCCGACTGCCACCAGGAAACCATCAGAAAGCCGACAAGCGGAGTCTGACTGGAGTTTGACTGTAGGTCAGAGTAACTTGTTGGCCAATCAGACATGGTTGACGTACAGTCAGGCACAGTCAGCGGTCCACTAGAAAACATTGACTGCCAAACAGGGTTACATTGATGGATTTTTCCTTCGGGATGTTTTTGCGTAAAAACAAATGAACAAAAAACTTATTTTGTAGGAACTTTTCTTGGAGTTTAGTACAGTATGACAGTCGCGTGATGTCGTCTAAAATCTTTAGTTTACATGGTTTCGCGGAACAATTATTATGGTTTTGATATTACCATGTTTCACCGGTGATTTCAGGTAGCGCGGCCCGACCTGGGCGTATCCTAACCTCAGTAGTAATTTGCGGCGCGTCCGCTTGAGAGACGGGGGTTGGCATCCCTGAACCTTTCACTACATGTGTATGTTTCGGCGTCAAAATGGCCGAATATAGCAAAAATAGAACAGTCGCAGCGGACGCTATCGAATGCGACACTCCGTGCAGTTCCCCGAGTGACCGCTGCGGAAGAAATGGCGGCGTTGATATCGCCATTACCTCAGTTCTCGAGTACGGATCGGTGCCACTTTTTTCAGAGCAGACTCTATGGCAGTTTCCAAACTGAAAAAAAAACGGTTAAAGTACAGGCGAGCTGGTGGATATTTACCATGATGGAACTTAAGCCGAGACTGGGGTAGCAACAGGAACTTAAAAGTAGAAGGGACAGAGACAAGTGAAGAAGAGAACG